TAAAATCTTGAATTTTTTTCCAAAAGATGCGCCGTGAAAGGCTCTACAAAGACTGTATGATCGAATTCCTTTGTTTTGTGGAGCTTTCGACGACACATCTTTTTAAAAAAATTTCAATATTCCATCATTTTTTCAAGTCGAGATATATGCAGAACAAAAAGGTCTTCCAACATTTTCAAAATTGATCGGAGGTGACACCGCCATGTAAGTTATTCATTTTGAGTATAAGAAAAACCATTAGAACAGGTAAAAAGGAATTCGATCATACAGATTTTGTAGAATTTTTCATAGCGCATCTTTTGGAAAAGAATTCAAGGTTTTATCATTTACCTAAGCCGAGATATATGCGAAATAAAAAGTTACAACATGGTAAAAACTGTAAAAAAAGCAAATGTCACTTTTTTTTCTAATAGACTTTTTACATTTTAAACTGCATTTGATGTTCAATGTAAATATACCAAAAGATGCAGCCCGTTCTGGGCTTCATTCCTATATATAGTACGTTAATAAATCAAAAACGTATAGTAATAAAAAAAAAATCAAAGGATATACTTTCAATTTTCCTCGACTGTATTGCAGTATGGGATGTCAATATATATTTGCTTTATATTTATATTTCAAAAGTAGAAGAATATCAAGCACCACAATATGAAAAAATGGAAAATGAAGTGGTCAGTTTGTCATTAATTGTTTCTTTGTGCACATAAAGCACTCACTAACGATAGCTCCTCGCAGAGATATAAACCGGTCGGCCGGTTTGCTGATGACCGACAACTGCAGCACAGCAGCAGCATCTAGAGGAAAGGGCCATTTTTATCGATGTATCGGGTTGTGCATCGAGTACTTGATGCATTCCTTGCAGAGCACGGTACATCTGTCACAGATAAAAGGAAATCGTACTCCAACTGATCGGCTCATCACTGACTGATTCATTAAAGCACCAAGGTAATGTTGACGGTGACGTCAATGTAAACGAAGATGCTGATTGTGATGTTGATATCGATAATGTTAGTGATGGTGATTATGACGCTAATATAAACATCAGCATCAATATTAATTTGACGAGTCAATTCGTACTATGTCTCCCTATTTAGATGAATTGCCTAATAATCGGCCGATACACTCCGATACACTGACTCCTGCAACTCCCAGCTTTTGAAGTTTGTGTGCATATACATGAACTTATCACGAACCGGGCTATAATCGTACGACGCACTGTAACCTGCAGACCTCTGCTTATTTAAAAGTGTATGCATCTAGATCAATCGATCGAAACATGGTGCATAATATGATTCTTATTGTGCATCTAGATGAATCGGCCAATGTAGGATGCTGTTTATCGTGCATCTGGCTGAACCTACTATGGATCGGTTGCATGTAGATGAATCTACTGATACTAGTTGAAATTTATTTGCATGGAAATATGCATACTAAACAAAAAACACTTCTCTCCATCTACAAGACTTGCTAAAATCTCAAGATCTTTAAAACTTATGTCATTACAAAGGAGTCATTGAATTTCGGGCCTTTCGGGCGGGTTGTATTCTAAATATTTCTTTGAATTTTTTGAAAGTCCGCGAAGTTTCGAGTTTTTGTAAACTTTATTCTTCTTCGTACCATCAATAAAACAACGTAATCTCGAAAACGTAATTGTAGCAGTCTAATCGATTACACTCGAGGAAACTCGTTTTTCATACTAGCTCCAAATGCAATAACATGTTTCTTTTAGGTGTATAATGGACGTGATTTATTAAAAATGATAGTAAAAGATCCACGTCAGTATGGTAGAGATTTATTAAAAATTCCTTTTACACCAAAGGAATTGGTTAATTCATTGATACCACCTAGTCAAAAACAAAATAAACGTCCACCATTACCACAAGATCGATTTGATATATTACATGGTAATTACTAGCTATCTCGTTCTTGTTCCCTACATACTCCACAAAAAAATTCTATTATTGTTCTCATTATAGAAGCAATACGTGCTAAATATCGAATAGCTAAATTAAAATATGATGATTTTTATACTTTATATATTCGTCTATCATTGGTGCAGTTTTTAATTGATGAAAGAGAGAGACAACAAAAACAAGCTCAAACACCACCCCCAAACACAAGCAGAAATACAGCAACAACAACAATCAGCAGTTGTAGCATCAACACCTGAATATTCAAATTAAATATCCATGGTGAGAATTGATTATAAAGAAATACAATTATCTTATAAACGGATCTGAAATTCATTTGATGTTTTTGTATTTTTGCGCTTAATAAGCGTCTTTCCAGTATACGTTTGTAATAGACAAAGCGACATATCCTCTGGGTCTTAAGCGTTTTCGCTCTTCCTCGATCTGATAATATTATTGAATTTAATTGATTTTGACTTGACAGTGGACATCTTGAAAACTGAGTTTTTGAGCATAGGATTTTCGGAAATATTGAAATTGAAAATATTCGCCGTAACCATTTAATTGTTTAAACAAGCTTATTCGAGAGAGTCCACTTTTAGCTATTTAAAACAAATTTAAGGTGTTTAAGAAAACCATCGATTCAGAAAATAGAAGACAACATAAATATTTAGATTTAATACTTAGCAGAGATAGTCCCATCACTTTACTACAGAATGACGCAGATCTGAGACCTCCAGCTAGTATACGGACTCGGTGATAGTCATTTTTCGGAGAGCCTCTTGCTTTCTTCATGTAGGAGTGCGAAAACCACATGGAAACATATCTTATTGATCTTCCTGATCATCATGATGATGTCTATTTTCATGATGCCGTTTGTTTCGTTATCAAATAGATTGTTAGGGTGAATCACAAAACTGTGATCATGTTATGTTGTCTATATTAGTGATCATAGGTATTAATATATTAGCATAGGTGTAGATTTAATTAATATCTATCAAAAGACGCATTAGACATTATTTAAAATGTTTGAGTAGCAGCGATAATACATCATTATAGAAAAGAATTTAAGTAAAATCATTTTACATACAATGTATGTAAAATGATTTTACTTAAATTCTTTTCTATAATTTTGAATATACTATGTTTTATTAAAATCGTAAAAAAGTCAAAAAGCATCAACATAATACATCAGTTATCGTTCTAAGATATTTTATTGTTACGTGTGTAAAGAGTCGCCTGTGTTTGGCGATGCAATAGGATTGCACATTACAGATTACAGATACAAATACCTTTTCCCGAATAAAATGAAACGAGAAACATGCGCACTTTGTTCGATGATCACTAATGATTAATTGATTGTCCACCACAAATCCTTTGAAAAATGACATTTTGAGCACGGGATTGCTCTTTTTGTCAAGCACAGATCGTGCCGACAAGAGGATGGATAAAATTTTTAGATAATTTGGTTCTCTGGTTGGCCATGCAATGGTTGATTCTTTGTTGTCACAATAAAGACTGTATTTGTTAGACGTACAAACCTGAATAATGGTTCTGAGCATGAACGTTTTTGAGAGAAAAAGTTAAACACGCTTTCTCCTATCTGCGGCGGCCATGTAGCATTTTCGAACATTTTTAATGAAAACTTTTGGTAAATGTCATGTTCAAAAATATGGGCACCTATTAGAAAACTAAAAGAAAAATCTAGTTATATTAAACTCGTGCACAGTGTGCATTTTTGCTCAGAACCGTGCCGAAAAACTTCTCTCTGAGTTTGAGTTAATAAAGCGGTTATGATATTCTCACATAACGCGTGATAAACGTAATGTATACAAACGGAATCCATGATTAAAATAAGAAAACTTCCTCGCAGTCCGGCACTTAAAAACGGCACTATCACTGATGCAGCTTTCTCAAACATTTACTTACCAACGTTATTATTATTAATCAAAGCTACGTATGGTAGTAGTAGATATGTTAAACTTTGTTCGGTCAAACGTTATTGTCTACTTCATACAACAGAATCAGGTCATGCTTTTGGGAAATCAAGTTCGAAGGGCTGTTATCTCCGCCTTATTGTGCTCGCATTTAATGATACCAACCCAAACCTGGTTTAAACACTTGGTTATGCACATCCTGCAATGTATTAATTTCGAAGATAATTGTGATGTCATATTTATGGAAGACTACCGCTAGGTGTAGGCGTATTTAACTCACGTTTTCAACGCGGAATTCAAATGATCTATATTAATATATTTATCTGTGTTATATATATATTTATTGTTAACTAACACAATTTCTGAAGATAATTATTGTGCTATCTATCGTTTAGTTGTTAAATACATTGATGAAACCTTGAGGTTTGCTGTTGACAGATAAATATTATGTTAACTCTAAAAGTTATGTAATCTCTTTTACTATCCCTCTCTGTCACACTCTTTCTTTTCTTTCTTTTTTTTCTTTTTTTCAGTGATTAGGATTTTGTTACTCCTACTCACATATTGTAACATCAAAGACATTTATTTATATTATTTTGCTATAGTTTATGGTAATCAAGGAGAAGGTGCACTGACCTCTGTCGATTTCATCTTTACGATTACATATTCTTGAATACATTCTTTTTTTTTTACTTGTTATTTAAATAAATACAGTTTAAAGTTCCTTTGTACCGCGCATTTACGCATACTTATTTGACTGACAGTTATTCGTGAGGAGAGAGATAATGTTGGACTTGTTTATCATATTTATTTATCTATCTGCGCTAGGTATCATTTATAATTTGTGTAATTGTCTATGTCAATATCCATTGATTATAAAGGTATTGACATAAAGTAAACAAGATTTATATAAGTCAGCGATTAGGAGAAAAACTTCATTGATGTTATGGTCGGGTACACTCAAAAAAGGCATAAATTTCATAGTTATTGGCGTACAAGAAGGCAGTTAAACAAGGAGAACACATACACAGTAGTAAATCTTTTTCCGCACTTATTATGGTAGGACAGGTGAGTTAGAGAATGATGCATTATTTATTGTATTCGCAGAGAAATCTCAAGTTCACATTGCATTCAATTTTACTAGCGACAGTAAATGTACACTCCACAAGTACCCATCGCTGCAGTTCCAGCGCAAAGGAGCAGGTAAAAGGTCAAAACACCTTGTCTGATTATAACTGTTTCTGTTTACACAGAACTTTTATAAATGACATGTGAAGGTGGATCAGGCAATTGAGTTAGCATGATCCATAACGTTCTTTTTTTCTTGTTTAAGAAATGGCTTATGGCCTTTGCTTGCTATTTGCTGCTTGGCCTTAGTAGGTTTTCTAGTAGCAGCTACAATAGTTCTCGCTCTCATCCCAGTTTATTTACCAAAAAAAGGATCACAGCGTAAGCCTGGAGTCATCTGAAATAAATACTCATTTCTATGTTCAACTTTATGTTAAGAATCAGCACCAGTTGTTATTGTATACAGTACACTAGCTACTGCTAATAGCGTATTCACTGGAACGTTACCATCGTCAAACAATGCCGCTGTTGCGAGACAAGTGAAATACTACTATCTTAAAACTTGTTTTCTCAGTCGTTCTCTCAATGATGTTTTCTAATAGTTCTAGAATAATCTTACTTACAGTATTTTTTGGCTATGTCTTTTAGTTAGAAAAACAATTAGGATTAGCTAATGGTACACTTACGATTGACAGAATCTCTAGTGTCGGCAGCACTTCAAGTCGACGAAAGCGCTTGTAAGTAAATGTTTGTTATAAGGGTTTATCAATAAACTTACCTTATTTCCTTTTTTGTTTCAGTTTGCTTTCCAAAAGACAAACTCATTTTTCAAATCAATTGCACATAGATTGTCATCAAAATTACCCTCGAGGGTGTACAGCTAGTTGTCGCGACAAACAGCACCAACATTTCCAAGAACTAGTGACGACTATAATTCAAATAACAATTATATTGATACTGCCTAATGGTCTAACAATAACATTTCAATTAACATTTCTTCATGTGCAATTTTCAGGTAAAATAAACCATTATTTCAGTCCACTAATTCCATTCACCATTGGTGTATTTTTTGTCAGGAGGTATTCGTATTGGTCCCTTCAGAGGAGCGCCGGGTACTGATGCACCGGTAATTGGATCAAGTGGTGGTGCAGGGGGTACGTAAATTTTATAACAGATGTCATCAAACTTTTGTACAGCTAGCTTAAAAACTATTATCCGCAGTAAGATCTAAGGAGTAATAAAACGAGCCTGTAAGAGACACTTGCTATCTTTGAGCGTTCATCCATTAAAAATATTTTATTTGACAGCCGATAATGTCAAAGTCAAAGCTCATGTAATCAATTTGATAGAGTTGAAGTTGCTCAAAACACTATTTCGCCTATGCTGTGACGTGATCAGTCACAGTGTATATAACGCTGAACCTTTGTCTTCGATTAAGCCGTTTAATTCTTCAAAAACATTTTGCATTCACATCTTACTTTTAGGTGCTACAAATGCGCCAATCGGATCAGTTCAAACCAATGTTCAACCTGCTACTACTGCACCGTCGAACACGGCAATAGCTTCAAATCCTGCCCAAACAAGTGAGATACTTTGCTGCTTGTTGATCTATGTCATCGTCAGTAAAAACGAAATCACTTGAATATATATTGAATAAGGTTTAATGGGAAAGTGGTACTAATGAAGGAACCTCTCTATGAGGTTCTACTCACTCACTTCTCATCTTTATTTAAGAAAGTGAACGGCTATATATAGTACACAAGTTGAACAACAGTTATGCAAAAGTTACATAAGAACAGAAATGGTTTAGGAAAATTATGAAGCCCATTATGAAGCAAGAGTTGCGCAATAACAGAAAGAAAGGAAAAGAAGAAGAAAACACGGTCTTATGAGCTGCCAGGAATGGCAAATCAAAACACTCTCGCCGTGTTTAATCGCTTTTGAGCCGATATTTTGCCCGCAGGTAGAGGATCTCTAGGCTAGAATAACCCTAAGTTGGTTTGTATGTCTGAATCTCTGAAGTCGATTATTGATATAAATTCTTTGACGTGTTTGGACTCAATGCTAGATTTTTCATCCCCTTCGTGTTTTCTTCATTACTTTTCAATGGAACCTTCAACTTAGATAACTTCAATTAAATGAACACCCCAGTTCACATACTCACATCATTCACTTCGAACTATTCTTTCATATACTGAATTCGCGGAAAGTTTCATCTTTGAGATCTGCGTGACAAAAATGTCGATCCTCCAAAAGCAGAGCGTGGAGATGTCCGTTGCCCACTTTTCGCATCAATATCCTTTATAACATCGTCCACTTGTCTCAAAAACGCGTCTACTCGGTGCCTTTTCATCTGACTGCCACACGCTGTTTTGAATGAAACAGATCTCAACATTTGCAGAGAAAGTCTCTGTAATTGTGGCGAATATTACATGCATCAATGAAAGAACATTTTTCCATCAAACATAATGAACTAATACATGACTTTGTTATTATTTAGCACTTCAATCAGGAACGGGAGTAACGAAGTCCAATACAGGTAAATAAGTTTCTTCTATTGTATGGTCTGACGAGAGAATGATCAAACAGTATGTACTTTCGCCAAGAGAGAAATAGCGGACTCCTGAACTCCCATGGACTCCTGAAGTCCATGAGTCCAAGAACAAAAATCTTCATTTCTGGGAAGTGATTCCCAAAAAAGAACATCTTTGCTCTTGGATTCCTGGACTTCAGGAGTCCACGAGTCTGCTATTTCCCCCTTTACTTTCGCACTAAATCACACTTCAGATATGTTTTCTCACAAGAATCGACATCTAGCGTATATTTTTCTCTAATGGCTTCTAACCGGCAGTTTGATTATATCTCCTCTGCATATTCATTTTACTTTTCACCTTGTACTTTCCGAGGTTTGTCAGATACCGAGAGATGTGAGAAACAAAGGAAAAACGCTACCTGAATCGCCACCGGCTCGCTAATTTGTGTTAGATATCTTACGGCACACGTTTCTAGCAATTACACTATGTTCTAGGCGCCGCAACGCCACCTGTTACTGTGGTTACCGAGCAACCTGGTAATCCTGTTACTGTCACTACGAATCAAGCTGGTAATCCTGTTACAGTTACTACCAATCAAGCTGGTAATCCTGTTACTGTTGCTACCAATCAAGCTGGTAATCCTGTTACAGTTACTACCAATCAAGCTGGTAATCCTGTTACAGTTACTACCAATCAAGCTGGTAATCCTGTTACTGTCGCTACCAATCAAGCTGGTAATTCTGTTACTGTCGCTACCAATCAAGCTGGTAATCCTGTTACTGTTGCTACCAATCAAGCTGGTAATCCTGTTACTGTTGCTACCAATCAAGCTGGTAATCCTGTT